AAGAGGATTGCATTGGCTTCTGTTAGTTATTTTCTCCATTTTCTGGTTCAATTGTTGTATTCATATCAACATAAAGGGTTATAACTAGTTCAGTTGACAATGCAAATGAACTTAAAGGAACAGGAGGAAAATATTCCTCTCTGTGACTTGTATTATGATACGAAATACACATTGTCATACCTGAATTTTACAAACATAATCATAAAGATATGGTTTTCTACAACTAACAACATGGAAAGATTATTCTAATTATTCTATATGTTTTTACCCATATCTTTATGATCTTTTCTGGTGTACTGAACTTGCAATTTTTGGTAATTTCTAGGTCATCAAGGACAATGCAAATCTTGTTGACAAAGGAATTGTGTTTTTCCCAAATGTTAAAGATGACTTTTACAAACATAATCATAAAGATATGCTTTTGTAGAGCTAAAGACACTGTAAGATTGTTCTAAACATTCCATATTTTTTCACTATATCTTTATGATCTGTTCTGGTGTATTGAACTTGCAATTTTTGGTCATTTCTAGGTCATCCAACCACACAAATCTTGTTGACAAAAGAAGGGTGTTTCTCTTAGATGTTAAAGATGACAATCCACTAAATTGCATTGTGGCTAAAGTAAACATTACTCAGGTTGCCCTAAATGTAAAAGCAATTACTTCAACTATTCTTTCCATTTTCTGGTTCAGTTGTTGCATTCATATCAACATAAAGGGTCATAACTAGTTCAATTGACAATGTAGATGAACTTAAAGGCAAAGAAGGAAAATACTCCTCCCCATGGCTTGTATTATGATATGAAATACACATTGTCATACCTAACTTTTACAAACATAATCATAAAGATATGGTTTTATTAAGCTAAACACATGGTAAGATTATTCTGACTGTTCCATATATTGTCACCCATATCTTTATGATTTGTGTTGGTGTATTGAACTTGCAATTTTTGGTCATTTCTAGGTCTTCCATGACCATGCAAATTTAATTGACAAAAGAAGGGTTTTCTCAATCCACTAAATTGCATTGTGGCTAAAGTAAACATTACTCAAGCTACCCTAAATGTAAAAGGATTGCATTGTACTTCCTTTAGCTATTCTCTTCATTTTCTGGTTCAATTGTTGCATTCATATCAACATAAAGGGTCATAACTAGTTCAATTGATAATGCAGATGAACTTAAAGGCAAAGAAGGAAAATATTCCTCGCTGTAACTTGTATTATGATATGAAATACACATTGTCATACCTGACTTTTAAAAACATAATCATAAAGATATGGTTTTATTAAGCTAAAAACATGGTAAGATTATTCTGATTATTCCATATTTTTTCACCCATATCTTTATGATCTATTCTAGTTTATTGAACTTGCAGTTTTTGGTTATTTCTAGGTCATCAAGGACCATGCAAATCTTGTTGAAAAAAGAAGAGTGTTTTTCTCAGATGTTAAAGATGACAATCCACGAAATTGTATTTTTGTTGAAGTAAACACTGCTCAGGTTGCCCTAAATGTAAGAGGATTGCATTGTGCTTCCTTTAATTATTCTCTCCGTTTTCAGGTTCAATTGTTGCATTCATATCAACATAATGGGTCATAACTAGTTCAATTGACAATGCAGATGAACTTAAAGGAAAATAAGAAAATATTCCCCCCTGTGACTTGTATTATGATAGGAAATACACATTGTCATACCTAACTTTTATAAACATAATCACAGATAATCTATTTTGCTCGTACAATATGAAATTTTTCATTTTATTGTTCAATTAATTGATGTTATTTGTTTTATTATCTCGTAAATTGATAAAAGAGATAGTGAGACATCGACTATTTCAAGTGAGAGTGGTTTAGACAACACCCTTGGGAATTTTGAGATGTGTTTGTTGGACTTGTATATTGGTTGTGGTGCCATGTCTACTAGTCTATGCATTGAAGAATCATTATCTGGAGTAAAACTAGTAATTTTTAAGCAAATAATTGAAATCTGATGATATTTCCATTAGCTTTAAGTGAAAGGATTTGCATTAATCAATATAGAAGATATCACTTTTTAACTAATTGGAAGCATGTTGATTCCTTATCTTGTTTAAGGTAGAGGTGGGCTGTTGACATAAATACTAATACATGTAAAAATTAGAAATACAATCATCCCGAGACACAGATATAGTGTCCTTTTAAATTAGTACTCTTAATTGTTCATATGCTGAAGATTTGTTCAGTTAAGTTTGATATCTCATCATTTTTTAGATGAGCAGATGAGGAATGAAGCAATGGCAGATTTTTTATCTTTTTGAATGGCGATTCTTATTTTTATTCAGATAAAAAGCCAAAGCAGAGTTTGAACTCAGTTAGCAAAGAAGAAAAAGAGAAAGAAGATGATGAAGAAGAAAATGATAAAGCCTCTCTAATGTTTCTAATGCGGATTTTGAAGCGTTGAGGTTATTAGTTGTTTATTATGATGATCTTAAACAAGTGAAGAAACCTAGTGTGTATTTTAAGGTATTCTACATTTCATTTAGAAAAAAATAGTCACGTGTCATAATTGTTCTATTGTCTTTGTTATTAAGCTCTTTATATGACATATTTAATCACTGATAATAAATATGTGGTTTTATAGAATTGAAGACACAATAAGATTATTCTGATTATTCCATATTTTTTCACTCATATCTTTATGATATGTTATGGTGCATTGAACTTACAATTTTTGGTCTTTTCTAGGTCATCAAGGACTATGCAAATCTTGTTGACAAAAGAATAGTGTTTCTCTTGTATGTTAAAGATAACAATACACTAAATTTTATTGTGTCTAAAGTACACATTGTTCAAGTTGCCCTAAATGTAAAAGGATTGTATTGTGCTTCCTTTAATTATTCTCTCCATTTTCTAGTTCAATTGTTGCATTCATATCAACATAAAAGATTATAACTAGTTCAATTGACAATGCAGATGAACTTAAAGGAAAAAGAGGAAAATATTGCTCCCTGTGACTTGTATTATGATAGGAAATACACATTGTCATACCTGATTTTACAAACATAATCACAAGTAATTTATTTTGCTCCTATAATATGAAAATTTTCATTTTGTTGTTCAATTAATTGATGCTATTTGCTTTATTAACTCAGAAATTGATAAAAGAGATAGTGATAAATTGACTATTTCAAGTGACAAACAACTTACTTGGGAATTTTGAGAAGCATTTGTTGGACTTTGTTGATGCTTGATTTTGACACCAACAACTCACACGTACAAAGTGTTAAGTGGGCTTACAAGTTATACATGATATGCGAATATGTAGCAAGAGAGTAAATAAAAAACGATTTTTAAAGTGGTTCAGATGCTCAAAAAGCAATTCCTACATCCACTGTAGTTGTATTAATAGATGGATACAGTCTGGTCGTATGTAGCAAGCTGAGTTACAATCTAGAGGGAATATATATATATATATATATATATATAGAGAGAGAGAGAGAGAGAGAGAGAGAGAGAGAGAGAGAGAGAGAGAGAGAGAGAGAGGTGTATGCTGTTTAAGACTTAAGATAAGTCAATCTTGTAAGTAAGAGAGGAGCCCTCTATTTATAGTGGAAGGACTCAAGGTAATAATCATGAGCATGCAATATACATATATATAATATATATATATATATATAGAGAGAGAGAGAGAGAGAGTATATATATATATATATATATATAGAGAGAGAGAGAGAGAGAGAGAGAGAGAGAGAGAGAGAGAGGGGGGGGGTGTATGCTATTTAAGACTAAAGATAAGCCAATCTTGTAAGTAAGAGAGGAGCCCTCTATTTGTAGTGGAAGGACTCAAGGTAATAATCATGAGCCTGCAGTTTGGCAGGTGGGTTACAATTCCTAACCTACTTCCCATTGGCTGTCTGCACGAGAAATATCTTTAACTTGCCTAGGGCTTGGGTAGGTGGACGATTCCTAGTCTCTCGCAATTCTGGCATTCACCTGTTGTACTAACGAGAACCATACCTCTTTCGTCATTTCGCGATGTGGCAACGTCTAGACAGCATATAGCCTCCCTGAATTCTGATTGGCTCTTGCTAACGAGAGTTCACGCCAGCCCTGACTTTTTAGGCATAACAGACTTGTATACTAGTTGTGGTGCCAGTCTACTAATCTGTGCATTTACTACTAGAAAAACTCCCTTCCTTGACATAATGAATTAACAGATTTTCTTGACCGTTTTAAAAAATTGTCAAGAATTGTAATTCTTGACTGATTATTGACTGTTTATGAACTGTCAACAATTTGAAATAATCATTTACCGTTTTGGATGATTCTTGATAGTTATTAACTATCAAAGAATTAGTTAAAAATAAATTTTGTAAATCTTTTTCTTGACTGTTGTAGTCTCAATCCTTGATAATTTTTAGCTATCAAAGATTAAGTATATAAAAAACAAAAACAAAAAAATTGCCTAAAACTTTTCTCGCCCATTTTTTGCCACCAATTTTCATTCACTTTTCCCACAATTTTTTCCTTAAAACTTATGCTTATCCCCTATTTAACTCATTTTTGCAAATCCTCATAGTTGACATATTCTGACACTGGAAAAAAAGTTTTCGTTTCTACCACTCCTATTCAGTAGACATGACTCGCTCAATGACTCTGGCGTGTACTCCGTGCCTATTTCGATGAAGTTTGTTAACTTCAGTGAGTTCTTGTTGGGGCATATTCCCAACACCCAAATGTAAGGGTATTCAAAAAAATGTGGAAACCGAATCGAATTGGGAACCAAAGTGGTTATCCGGAAAACCGGTTCGATTTTGGTCCATAGAAGTAAAGAAAATCAAATTTCCGATTTTATTTAAAAAAATTAAAAAGTAAACAATTTTTCGTTAAAATTAAAAAAAAAACAATTTAATTTAAAAAGATTATAAATCTAAAATTAAAGAAAATCAAGCCCCAAACCCGGCTAATATATATATATACACACCCAAAATGAAAAAACTGTTTGAACCCTTACAAGTTAAAAAAAAAAAATTATAACTCCCAATTACTACAGTCCTCGTCACTTTCTACAGAAAATCCCCAAACCACAAAACCCCACCGCCGACGACGCCATTGCTCTCCACTCCGTCCGCCTCTGCTTCTTCAATTTCTGCCTGAAAACTTTCACTTCTCCACTCGGTTCGCCTCGTCTTCTCCATTTGATGGCTGGAATCTGGACTTCTCCATCCGTTCGGCTCTTCGTCTCCATAAATTCCAGTGAGTTTCCGTTGTCTAGTGGGTGATTTGCTTATTCTAATTAATTTTTTTTAATTTAAAATTTAATTTTTATTCCTGGCATTTTGATATCAGTAATGGATTTGAGATTACAAATCATTACTTTGATCTCAGATTCCTGGAAGCTAGATGATGGACATTAAATGTTATATTTGAACTTGTTGATTTATGCCCACATGCTTCTTGATTTGTCTTTCAATGAAAGAAAAAGGATTTTACAGTATAAAAGATTTTGTAATCGAATAAAGTGCTCAAGGAGATTATTATTGTTTTTTAAGGAATCAATCATCATTTTTCAGAAACATGCAATAAATTATATGTATTTTAGGTTGTTTAAACACATTTCATTTTGTTGTAATTCCTTGGATTAATGAAATTACCAATGAGCGTCTATTGCCATTCCACTATTTATCCCAAAATTTGGTGTTCCAAAATGCTTGTGTAAATGTCTCTCTTTATCGGATTGGTGATGAGAATTGTTGTTCCTCTTGTTTTGGTGATTGTCTATCATCAGCAGTACCTTGTGCACTCCAAAGTGGGAATTATGTTTACTCCTCAGAAGGCCTTCTAGATAAAGAGTTCTTAGATGAGTATATCTCAATGACTCGGGATCCTCAACAACAATGCCTCTTGAATTGTAAATGTTGCCCACTTGAAAGATCAAGAAATGAAGGTATTATAGAACCATGTAAGGGTCACTTGAAGAGAAATATTATAAAGGAATGTTGGAGCAAATGTGGCTGTTACAGACAGTGTGGCAATCGTGTGGGGCAGCGTGGCATAAATTGCAAACTGCAGGTTTTATCCCCCTCTTCTCAAAGTTTTTGCCCTCAGTTTTATGTTTAACACTAGTAATAGCTAAACTATTGAAAATGTTTCATGAATTGCTCATCATACAGTTCTCTTCAAATTGGAGTTATAATGACACTCATCACTGTTTACTTATTCTTATGGATATCCTTTTTAGTTACATGTGTATTAAATGGCTGATTTCTTTTACATGTTAAGTGTTTTTTACTCCTGATGGAAAGGGTTGGGGGCCTGGAACTCTAGAGAAGCTGCAAAAAGGTGCTTTTGTGTGTGAGTTTGTTGGAGAAATTCTAACCATCACAGAGTTGTATGAGAGGAACACCAAGAACCATAACTGTCCGGTTTTACTGGATGCATATTGGGCTTCAAAAGGAGTTCTAAAAGATGAAGAAGCTCTCTGTTTGGATGCCACGTGCTACAGAAATGTTGATCATAGGTAATTGTCCAAATATTTACTAATGTTGTGTGTAACTCTCACAAATTTCTTCCTATTCCAAAGGGATAGTGATAGGAACCTGATTGATTCACCCTCAACCCACTCAACTCACACAAAGAACAAGAGTAAACACTGAATAATGCTCTGATATTTGTATTAATAATCTGCAGAACTGAATGTTCCAGTACTGAGAACTTTAATGGAAAATGAAGAAGAACAGAATGCAGAAAATGAAAAGAAAGATAACTCTAGCACTTCGAGGAGCTAGGACCCTCCCAATACAACTTTGTGAATAATCCCATACCTTGTACATCTTTCGTAACCTTCTAATACCCAATTATCTTAACAAACTTATTCTACTAGTCTGTAGGCCTAACAAACTCCTTTGCTAATCTGGTGCCACGTCTAAATATTCCTTTTTAAGCAGCTCCCATGTGGCCTTCTAATCCACTTTTATTCTTCCTCACGTACACCTTGCTGCTAGGCTGTGTAATTCCCTTGCTGCCCTCCTCTGAATCTCCTGGAATGTCTAGTTTCCTATCAGATAGCATCATTACTATCGTGTAAAGCATATTAGAAGCTCCATCTTCATGCTTATTGTTTTGGCTTTTGTTGCTGATACTGGTTATTGTTTTGTCTTTTGTTGCTGATATTGTTTCACTGGTAAAGTGACTTTAAATAGTGTATTCACCTGTTATGTAGCTTGCTTTTTTCACAACAAGAGACGTGGATGCATTTGAAGAGCTAACCTGGGTGAGGAGGCTTGTTTTTATAGATTTAGTTGATAGTTGTACTCATGAAATGAATTAGGAAATACTTTATAGCAAACAAACAACAAAATGATGATTGATTCCTTAAAGGCTTGTTATTGAATGTACTTATGCAATGAATTAGGACATACCTTATGGCAATTGTAGAAGGCGAGGGATGGTGTGAATTGAAGATCGTGGACTTAAGTATTTCTGTTAGTATTATTTTGCTGCACTGGTATAGCTCCGTCGTCAGTATAGGCTGGAACATATTAATGCGTCAGCAAAATACATTTGCCTAAAATTTAATACAAAGGAACATATTTTGAAGTTTTAGATATGCTATTATATAGATAAAAATTTACAGGGATGCAACTTTTGTTATGTGGAAAGTAATATGTACTTGCAAAATTTGCAAGTTATGTTTTGTTTGCAAGCTTAATGTTCTACATTATAAGGTTTCTAGATAATAGTTTTTAAACATATCCTAGTTTTTTTTTAATAGTTGAAACTGCTTTAGTGTTGTTCTTCAAAAGTTGTTCAATGTTCCAGAGTTCAAGAAATTTGTATGATAGTTTGAAATCTAGGCATGTTACATGTTTCTGTCGCAATTTCATACCAATAACCTTTTATGCTTCTCTTTATTTGTAAAAGCAGTACCTTCTTTTCTTTTTCAGCCTTCTTCTCAAGTATTCATATTTTATTCCAATTTTATGCAGTTAATGTGACTGGGAAACAGAGTGAATTTGTGGCACTTCTTAATCCTGCAAATAAACCATTGACACAAATTGTTCAAGATGACTCATTCATGGAATTTGAATTTAGACAGTATCTATTTGCTTGTCAATCAAAGGTATGCAAGATTAGGAATTTCTTGTTCAACCTTAAATTGGTTGTATTAAGTTATTTATGATTGAACTGCACTTGTTAAGCTCAACATGAGGTTGGATAAAGAGGTTTTTCATTTTTGATTAGCTTGAAAGCCTTATCATCAATGATTTATGTTAATTTGCAGCTTTTATTCAAGTTGAATCGTCCCTTTGAGGTTGCATCAAGAGGTTATTTATTTATAATTATCTTTTCAAAGTCTCTGGCACAACATGAGGTATCTAATATCAGGTATCTAATATCTTTTTGTTCATTTAGTTAATTTATAATGTTGTATATTAAGCACTTGTTAAGGAGTATTAGTTCTGATCATGCAGTTCTACTCTTTTCTTTCACTCCTCTTGGAGTTCTTCTAGAACATATAACCTTTCTGCATGCGAGAAGTTTGGGTAATTACTGTGTGCTTGGCTTTAATCAGTGCAACCTTTTCTCATTATAATGAAGGACTTGCAGTACTTCATATAAAAAAGGAGTTTCATCGGCTCTTTGGTGATTTATATTCTTTATGTAGAGTTAAGGTAATTTTTATAGCACTTCATAATGAATCATCATATTTGGTATTTGATATCAGTTTTCTTTATGATGCTAATGTTTTCTATCTTCACTTTAAAGTGATTGATTCATTTTTCAACTGATAATAGGGCCAGAAATTCTGGCAATACCAGCATCTTTCTCTGAATATATTTTGTAGAATTTCACACCATTATGGACTGTGAAACTTGTTTTTTTTTTTTTCTTTTTCTCTTTGAACCTTATATATAGAAATATTGTTTAAGTGGGTTTATGATTATGGCAGTTCATGAGGCCTATATTCCTAATTGGATATGGATCAGATATAGAAAGAAACTCTGTCAACCGGTATGAATTAATTATTTAAGATTGATATCAATTTGAGCCTTCTATTATGGTTGTTGGTTATACCATTCTATAAGCTTGACCTTGTGACAGAAGATAAATTATCTTTAAACGTGTTGAATTTTGACCTTCTTGTCGCTTTATCATTCATCTGTTTAATTTATTTCCTCTTCCTTTGATCAGTGCCTCTCTCAACTTGCTACCTTGGCTTAAACCATCAATTTGGCCTTCAGTTCCACCTGATGCTTCCTTTGAAGTGTTTGCTAAAGAAAAGGTAAGTTCTTAAATGATAGATGCAAGTAAGAGGAGAATGGGTAATTTACGTATCAAACTTCTTTTAGTTGTTGATTTTTTCTTTAATGTCAAAGCATCAATGATGGAAAAATATGGATTAAACTTTTGTTGGATGATATACCACTTTTGTTGAATTTCGTTTACTAAATTAATTGAAACATTGTTGAATGTTTAAATTTATTTATGAATTGTGATAATTGTTGTTGGTTGAGGAATATTATGAAGATTTTCATTGCATTATTGTATTATTTAATTGGTAATAATATGGAAAATAAACTAATTACAAATAGATATATATATTTAAAAAAAAAAATACTTAACGAAAAAAATTCTTGACAATTCGAAGACTAATAAGGATTGGTTAAAATTCGGTCAAATCTTTGACAGTTTATAACTGTCAAGTATCAGTCAAGAAATTTGTGACAATTCAAAAATGGTCACCACCTTTTTTTGATAGGGGTTTCAATGATGGGTGAAAAACTGTCAAAAAACACATTTCTTAACAGTTATTACCCATTAAGAAAGGAGTTTTTTAAAGTAGTGATTGGTGCATCATTATCTGGAGTAAAACTAGTAATTATAAGTAAATAATTGAAATCTGATGATATTTCCATTAGCATTTAGTGAAAGGATTTGCATTATGTCAATCTTGAAGATATTACTTTTTAACTTATTGGAAGCATGTTGATTCTTTATTGTTTTTAATGTAGAGGTGGGCTGTTGACACAAAAATGGATTCAGTAAAAGTTTGAAAAACAATCGTCTCGAGACACAGGTGTAGTTTCAATTTAAATTAGTACTCTTAATTGTTCGTCTATAGAATATTTTTTCGGTTAAGTTTGATATTTCTTCATTTTTTTGATAAGCAGGTGAGGTATGAAGCAGTAGAAGATTTTTTGTCTTTGTTGAAGGAATGGGAAAAGTTGTGTCAGCAATTCTGATTTTCTGTTTCAGATAAAAAGCTAGAGCAGAGTTTGAACTTAGTTAGCAAAGAAGAAGAAAAGGAAGAGGAAGATGATGAAGAAGAAAACAATAAAGTCTTTCTAATATTTCTGATGAGAATTTTGAAGTGGAGTTGTTATTGGTTATTTGTTATGGTGATCCTAACAAAGTGAAGAAACCTAGAGTGTATTTTAAGGTATTCTACATTTCATTTGGAAAAGACTGGTCACGTGTCTTATTTGCTCTATTGTCTTTATTGTTAAACTCTATATGACATCTTTCATCACTGGTCAAAGACTAGTCACGTGTCTTATTTGTTCTATTGATAAGTGATGGAAACATGTCATATAAAGAGCTTAACAACAAAGACAATAGAACAAATATGACATATGGCCAGTCTTTTCGAAATGAAATGTAGAATACCTTAAAATACACTCTGGGTTTCTTCACTTTGTTAGGATCACTATAACAAACAGCTAATAACAACTCCACTTCAAAATCCTCATCAGAAATATTGGAGAGGCTTTATCGTTTTCTTCTTCATCATCATCTTTTTCCTCTTATTCTTTTTCGCTAATTGAGTTTAAACTCTGTTCTGACACAAAAAATCAGAATTGCTGACACAATTTTTCCCATTCCTTCAACAAATACAAAAAATCTTCCATGGATCATCCAAAAAAGGATGAGATATCAAACTTAACCAAACAAATCTTCAGCATACGAACAATTAAGAGCAATAATTTAAAAGGACACACTATACTTGTGTCTCGAGATGATTGTATTTCAAACGTTTACATGCAGTACTATTTACGTCAATAGCCTACCTCGACATTAAACACAATAAGGAATCAACATGCTTCAAATTAATTAAAAAGAAATATCCTTTATATTGACATAATGCAAATTCTTTCACTAAAAGCTAATGTAAAATATCATCAAATTTCAATTATCTACTTAAAGTTACTAGTTTTACTTTGGATAATGATGCACCAATGCATACACCAGTAGACATGGTACCATAGCTAGAAAACGCGACTCAAAATTTTCAAAGGTGTTGTTTGAACCACTCTCACTTGAAATAGACATTGTATCACTATCTTTTTTTTATCAATTTTTGAGTTAATGAAGCAAATAACATCAATTAAATGAACAATAAATAAATAATGAAAAATTCCATATTGTAGGAACAAAATAAATTGCCTATGATTATGTTTATAAACGCTAGATTTGACAATGTGTATTTCATATCATAATACAAGTTACAGCGGGGAAAATTTTTCTCTTTTTTCTTTTAAGTTCATTTGCATTGTCAACTGAATTAGTTATAATCCTCTATGTTGATATGAATAAACAATTGAGCCAAAAAATTGAGAGAATAATTAAAGGAAGCACAATGCAATCCTCTTATATTTAGGGCAATTTGAGCAACGTTTACTTTAGATAAAAGTATAATTTAGTGGATTGTCATCTTTAACATCTGAGAGAAACACTATTCTTTTATCAATAAGATTTGCATAGTCTTTGATGATCTAGAAATGACAAAAAATAACAAGTTTAATACACCAAAACAGATCATAAAGATATGGGTGAAAAAATATGAAATAACCAGAATAATCTTACTATGTCTTTAGCTCTATAGAATCATATCTTTAAGATTAGTGAATAATTTGATCAGTGATGAAATATGCTATATAAAGAGTTTAACAACAAACACAATATAATAAACATGACACGTGGTCAATTTTTTTCAAATGAAATGTAGAATACCTTAAAATACACTATGAGTTTCTTCACTCTATTAGGATCATTATCACAAACAGCTAATAATCTCACCACTTCAAAAATTTTAGAAAGGCTTTATCGTTTTCTTTTTCATCTCTTCTTCCTCTTTCTCTATTTTACTAACTGAGTTCAAACTAAAAATTGCTGGCACAATTTTCTCCAATCTTTCATCAAAGACAAAAAAATCTTTCACTGCTTCGTTCCTCACCTGATGTGAAAATTATGTCGATTAGTGCCATCCCGCCTTTTAGTACAATGCAATTATGTGAAGCAAAACATAGTTTTGTATGCAGATCTTTCTTTGCCTGATTTTTCTTTTTCTTTTTAACTCAACTGTAATATTAATTCTTAACGGTTAATAATTGATTTTATTAAATAATAGATTGGTTTGTATAAAAACAAAATAGTCAACAGTTGAAAACGCATCACACGGATAAAACAAATTGAACCAAAAACCTTTTTCGTAAAGTAGGCCCCCGTAAATTGAACATTTCAACTATATAATAAATAGTCCATACCATAAATTAAATAAACAAGTCACGTCATTTCCATATCCAAACAAACAAAAGGAATCAACAAACTTCTCATCAATATACCAAATTGAAAAGGTCCAATCTCTATTCATATTTTTCAATTTATTTTTTCATTGTCCATCTTGTTTTCTATAAATTATTTTAATATGAAATCGTTATGAAAATTTATTGTATTGTATTAAATGAAATTGAATATATTATATCTTAAATCAATCAATGCATATATGAAAATTATTCCATTTAATTATTTTATAACACATCAATAGTTTATACAAGAAGATTATATACGAAGTATTATTGAATTTAAATTGAATCCGCAAACTAGATTTCAATTGTTACATATTGGATTGGTTTCAATATCAATTCAATCTTCAATTGAAAATGTTATAATCCATTTGATAATATAATTAGATTGGATTTAAAACAAAGAAAAAAATCAAAGTTTGTTATCCAGTCCTTCCTCGTATGTTAATAGGAATATCCACTGAAACTCTTATCTAGCTGATAGTTATAAAGTCTCAGGGGGGTAGTTGAGATGCACGTAAACTGACCCGGACACCCCTGATCATTAAAAAAAAAAAAAAAATCTAATTTATGATTATTTTATAATAAAAGTTTATTTGATCAGTGTTTCAACAAGCCAAAAGAGCTTATTTAAAGTTATAATCACTTTTGAAAGTTTTTTTTTTTGGAATGTTTAGTTGCATTTCAAAAATATTTATAAGATTTTAATTAAACTATTTTACAACTTATGAAAAAGCTTAAAACCATAAGCTCTTTTTAAACTTATTTAAAGTATTAAAAATTTAAAAATATCTTAACTATATTTTATAAATTTAACTTGATTTATTATTGTATGTTAAAATCTTTTTTAATAAATTAATATTAAAAACTACTTTTATTTTTTTAACAAAACATTTAATAACTTTTTCATAAAAATTGTATTCTCATCATCTCTATTTTAAGGTACTTCCAAACAGACTGTAATAAATAAGGGAGAACGACTTACACGTACCCAAAGTTTGTCGTAACGACAAGTTGGTACCTAAAAGGTTTTGAAACGACAAATAGGTACCTTCCGTCATGTTCTGTTAGTGGTTTCTGTTTATTACTGTTTATTAATAGTAAAAAGACTAAAATGCCCTTAAAGGTTTGAATTTTAGTTTTTTATAAATTTCTAAAAAACCCCCTAAGTTTACAAATTTAACTAAATACCCCAATGTATAGAAATTTTGTAAAATAACAAAAACACCCCCGCCACCTGCAGTGCCAGATTCCGGCCACCACCGCCGGAATCTGGCCAGAAAGTTGCGTTACGACATAGACCCGTCGGATCTGTGTCGTGACGCGTCGATCTGGCCTTTTCCGGCGTCGACATCGCAAAACTCCACCTGCGGCGTCGACGGCCAGATCTGGCAGTAGATCTGGCCCTTTCTGACCAGATCAGCCACGGATCTGGCCGAAAAAGGCCAGATCTGGCTGTTGCTTCGACGGCCAGATCTTGCCTTTTCTGGGCAGATCCGTCGCGATGGTGGCCGGAATCTGGCACTGGGGGTGTTTTTGTTATTTAACAAACTTTTTATATATGGGGGTGTTTAATTAAATTAGAAAACTTAGGAGGTTTTTTAGAAATTTTTAAATTTATAAAAAACTAAAATTGAAACTTTGAAGGGCATTTTAGTCTTTTCACTATTAATAAACAGAAATCAGTAACAGAATATGACGGAAGGTACCTATTTGTCGTTTCAAAACCTTTTAGGTACCAACTTATCGTTACGATAAATCTTAGGTATGCACAAGTCGTTCGACCAATAAATAATAAAAAAGAACCAATAGGGCGTGAGTTAGAACCAAAGTCAAAAGTAATTGTATGTCTCTAGTGGTCCATGTAATTAGGTGGGTCCATTGCTTAGGTGTCTCCACCATTACCCTCCCCTCTATAATTAAAATCCCCAATTCTCCTCATCCTTATTCCTTACCCACTCGGTCTCTCTCTCTCTGTGTCTCTCTCTCTCTCGCTCAAATCCCCAAACAACAATAACAACAACAACAACAATGGCTGCCCCATCTCTCCGTGACGAAAACGTTTACATGGCCAAGCTCGCTGAGCAGGCCGAGCGCTACGAGGAGATGGTCCAATACATGGAAAAGGTCGTCGATTCCGTTACGTCCACTGACGAACTCACCGTCGAGGAGCGTAATCTCCTCTCCGTCGCCTACAAGAACGTCATCGGCGCTCGCCGCGCTTCGTGGCGCATCGTCTCCTCCATCGAGCAGAAGGAGGAGTCGCGTGGCAACCAGGACCACGTGTCGCTCATTCGTGACTACAGATCCAAGATTGAGGCTGAATTGACGGAGATCTGTGGCGGGATCTTGAAATTGTTGGATGATAAATTGGTTCCCGCGGCTTCTTCTTCCGATTCTAAGGTCTTTTATTTGAAGATGAAAGGAGATTATCATCGCTACTTGGCTGAGTTTAAGACTGCCGATGAGAGGAAAGTCGCGGCTGAGAATACGCTCAACGCTTACAAAGCCGCGCAGGTTTTTATTGTCTTGCGATCCACTTTTTATTTTTAAATGTGTTTTTTGTTTGTTTGTTTTTTATTATTGAGTTGTTTTGGATATTGCATTATCGATTTTTTTTTTCTTTGTGAATTGTTTTGAATGATGATTGAGAAGGACTAGCTTTATTCTTGGTTTAATCTTGCTAACCCTTTGCTTGGTCTCTTGCTTTTTGCGGGTGCTGGTTGGGAGGATATGCTATTATTAATGTTTGTTAAATTATAACTTTATGGGCATAAGTTGAGGATTGAATTTATTTGAGTTTGTATTTGATTAGTATGTTTCCTCGTTTTATAGTTGACCAGGAAGAACATAGGATAAGAATAGAGGACTAGTAGTGTTATGTTAGGGAAATAAAATATAGGAAAAATGAATAAAATGGATTGATTAGGCACAGATTTAGTAGGTATCTTATTCAGTGCTCATGGTTGAGCTTTGGCTTGATGGGATGTGTGAGCCATAAAATTCAGTAATATTAATTATTTTTACTGTTTTTCAAGTCTAGTTTCTTGCATTGATTTGTTCTGGTTTGCTTATGCTAGAATAGTTTTATTTATTTTGAATATCTATTTCGACATGATCAATTGATTATGAATTTTTCTCTCATATCCATTATTAGAGCTCTTTATTATAAATAATTCAATGTGGGTTCTCTGCTTTTTGATATTGTTTACTTCTTCTGAATGTTAGGTAGATTGCATCAAATGCTGTGTTCTCAGTTCTATATGTGTGGTTTGACAATGAACTACGTTGTACTTTTTTATTAGACAATATTTGTGAGTGTGTTTCTCTCTTTTTTAATTGGTACTTTTTGACTGACATTGAAGCCTTTATTTTATTTTATTTTATATGTATTACTATGTTTGGAGTGCAGTGGCCTTATCAATATTTATAATTTCTTGAGTTATCAATCATTTTGAAATGTAAGTATTTTTTACTCTCTGACCTTGACATAGAATCTTAGAGTTAAATATGTGGTGTAGGAGATATTTATTGGATTTTTTCTTATTTTTTTCTGAAATTGAATTTCTGCCTTTATTGAATTTTACATTTGCAGGAAATTGCTAATGCTGAACTGCCTCCAACGCATCCTATCCGGCTAGGACTGGCGCTGAACTTCTCTGTGTTTTACTATGAGATTCTGAATTCTCCTGATAGAGCTTGTAACCTTGCAAAACAGGTGAGAATATTTGAATTTTTAAAATTTGTTTTCTTGTCTTTTATCTCATTCTAAAAAAAGTTTTAAGGCTCGATCTACTAGCAATATGTAGATAAGAATAGCACTTGATCTACAATGATTACTCTGATGTACAAGCAATATCTAGAAAAGTTTGAGGGTCAGATCTTCAAAATTACTGATCTTTACATTCTTTCATGCTGGCATTAGGCCTTTGATGAAGCAATCTCAGAGTTGGATACACTTGGAGAAGATTCATACAAGGATAGCACTTTGATAATGCAACTTCTTCGTGATAATCTCACTTTGTGGACCTCAGACATGCAGGTGTGAACATTGCTCTATTTATTTTTCTTCCGCCAATCATCCCTGTTTCAATAGTGAAAAATTACTGAATATTTGCTCTCTTTTGAATAGGATGAAGGAACTGACGAGATCAAAGAAGCAACCAAACCTGAGGAGGAGAAGCAGCAGTGAAGGCAGTTATTCTTTATAAGAGTATTTCACTTCTCTGTTTTTGTTTGGAGAAGTTGCTTGGTACCACTGCCCATTTGATTATGACTTTTTAGGAGTTCATGCGTTGATATGAATCTTGAAATAGATCTGGAATTTCTCGATATTTAAGTGATTGTACTTTGGGAGTTCAATTTTTTTAATTGCATCTAGGGTGCTTACTCATATTGTTTTCTTGGCAATAAAGGAACTAATGACCAAGCTATTTATTAGCTCAATATATGTGTGTTTGAATTTAAGATTGATGCAGGTTGACACTTGCACATAGTTTTTGCTTCTTATTATATCTTGCATGTCCTTCGATTTTGTGCATGTTCTGCTCTGTTTTAAATCAGGTATGTCAACTTGTTTAGTTGATTTGTTTCCCGGTTGATGAATCAGGATGGTCGAATACGAACAGGTCACAATAATTTGCTAAATTGTGGCCATATGGTATTTTGATGAGTGCATGTGCATTGTGTTGTAAAATTGTAGAAGGTGAATCTAGAATGTAAATAGCACTATAATCAATTAAAAGCCTAAAACAAGATAGCCAAAATCAAGTTTTTTTTTTAATATCAATCTTAAGAATATTTGTTGCTGTGGCTAAACATTGGCTGGTGGGTCTAAGGAGGGTCATTTGTCACTTACGTGTGGACATTGATCGAGTTTTTAATTTTTTATTGGATAGAGTCCTAAAACAAAACAAACTATATCCAATTTTATCGATCCGGTTGGTTATAGATCATCCAATTTTATTGATCCGATAGATATTTATTGGTTGGTTATCATCACTTTTGGTTCTTACTTAAAGAAAAGGGAATTTGGACATTTGATCACTTTGGGTAAGGGTTTGAAATTTTAGAATAGGGTTATTTTCTAAGAGGTTTTTACAAAGTTGTTATTTTTCAATTCACTGCCCATAAGAAAGGTTACCTAATACAATTTCCTTTATTTTAATTATGTTTAATCAAGAGAGTAATTCACAGGGTTGTGGCCGAGGACCATTGATCCAGCCTTGGCCCCAAGGATTATGTATAATACATTCACAAGGCCTAGGGATTTCGGGTAATTATCCAGCCGTAGGACACCCGATTAACTTGGGTAGGGATGCCAAAATTCTAGGCCGGGCAAAAATATTTTGGGTTTAGACCGAGCCTGGACTATAGAAGCTTAGACCCGGAATCGAGTGTAAAGCCTAAGTATTTAAACCCTGGGCTGGGCTAGGTAAATAAGAAACTCCGGTCTAGGTCTCAGGTAAGAACTTGGGTTTTAATTTAGTACCAAGCAAACATGTCACATATATTTCACAACAGTCTTACTTGACCAATATATGTAATGTGGCACAATTCCACAAGTGAAATTTCACAAGAACCACAATTCCACAAATAAAAAATAAATTAAAGATAAAATAAAAAATGTAAGTTTTCTCAAATACAAAAATACAATATATAAAGATTAAAAAGTCCATCAACTTTGATAAACCATTAAAATTAAAATTGGGTTATACAGGAAGATATTGATGTTGGCAAATGTTGCATTTTCTTAAACTCTGTAACGCCCACATGGAGGTACGTAATTTAATTTATGCTCTTATACCTTAAGTTGATTTTTGCTGAAGTTATTTTGAGAAAATGTGAAGAAAATTTAAACTTGCATTAAGGGTAAAATAGTATTTTCACTCAAAATTAGTTGAAATTATGAGGAATGAAAAGAGATAGAATTTCATGGAGAATACAATAAAAATAAGGGCATTATGGCAATTGACTAAGGGACGTAGATAAAATTTTAAAGAAAGTGTAAGGGCAAAATGAAAAACCATATATAATTTTATGTTATATTAAGGATTGAAGAGTGAAACCCTAGCCACTCTTCAACCCATTTTCATGCCACCTTCTCCTCCAAATCCTCTCAATTTCTTCACTTCTTTTCCAAAAGAAATTCATAGCTTTTGGGTATTTTTGAGTGGATTTTCAATCCCAAGCATCTTTAGGTAAGATTCTTGCACTAAGAAGTGATTTTAATTTTTAAAGTGTTGAATTTTGATGGTTTGTGCTCATAGGATTTAAGAGGAAGAGAGTTTGATCAAAGGAGATTCTTGAAGGGTTGAATTGCTCATATCAAAGGTAAGTAAATCATACCCTAAGTATGATTTAAGTTATGTTGTGTAGAGAATTTTCTTTATGCATATATATGTGTTATATGTAGAATTGTTGATGGATTTGGCGTTGAATAATGATTAGAACCTATCCATGAGAAGTTGTGTTGGTGTATTTGATACTTGATGAATGTTTGGTTGAAATTTGGAAGAATTGAGTAGAAATTTTGGAATGTGTATTTTGGGCAAATTTGGCATTAGTTATGAAATTTGGCATTAGTTATGGAGGATTTTATTCCAAATTTTTTGTGGCGTAGAAGAGAGATAGAAGTGTAGCCAAATTAGTGTTGATTTGTGCACATGAATTGTTTGATGAAATGTCAAAGAGAAGTGCATGTTTGAGTATGATTATGTGTTACTTTTGGATGAGTTTGTAGATGGTAGAGAATGACATGTTTGCATTCCATAATGCATAATTGCATTTAAACATGTGAATTTAGAAAGAATTATAAGCATAAAACCATCTACATGCATACATATTCATAAGAGTATAAGAAAACACTAAAATATGTTAAAGAGAAAATAGAAAGAAATGAGAATATTAAAGATATTCAAATCTGAATTTTTAGTTAAAGAAGTGTAAAAAGATGAAAAGAAGAGAAGGTTGTTGCGATGGGGAGCCCATGAGTAACATAACACCACATGCACGCCGCCTTTAATGAGCGGCCTCAGAATTCAGAAAGAAGAATTGTACAGTCCGTTAGAAGTGCGTGTGGATGAGGACTATACCCAGAATTAGAAAATTCACTCACACGGCCAGAGCTCCAAATCCATGTCTCAACCGAGTCTGATCGACAAGAAAAGAAAGAATAGAATAGAAAAGAAAGAATAGAAAAAAAAAAAAAAAAGAATTGAAAGAAAGAAATAAAGAAAAAGAAACAGAAAACAGAATAAGAAAAATAGAAAAGAAAATGCATAATCTATGCATTTGTGCATTTGCATCATGAATATGCATAATACCATGCTCATTATCGTGAGTAGTGAAAAATTAGAAAATTTAGAGAAAAACAGAGAGCAAAAGAGAGAAAGAATAAAGAAAGAACAGAGAGAAGAACAAAGGAAGAATAGAGAAAAATAGGGAAAAGAATGTAAGGAAAAGAAAATTCAGAATTTAAGCAACGAATAGAGAAGGGTAACATAGCGAGTTTACTTACTGAGCAATTAGTGTTCACTCCGTTGTTTCTAATGTTTTTTTGCGGGTAATAGGTGAGTTGCGGTCGCTTAGAACGTCACGTGGTGGAAGGGTTGGGCTACACTGTCAAGTTGCTATTTTTAGTATATTTTGTAAATATTTGTATATAAAGAAAAATTAAATATGGGCCCATACTTTATTACTCTTTTATATGTGTATTTTCTTATATATATTTTTAATAAGTTTTACTGATTATTTTACGAGTATACTAGCTAGAAAGAAAGTATTACATTTTTTATATCAGAGCAAAGGTTTTGGGATTTGACAGTGTGCCTCTCCTGCCACGTTGATGTTCCGTAGCCGACCGTTGTAAGTTATTTCTTTCCTTACTTGTAGTAGATGAGTTAATAGAGTTAATTAAAAGTGTTGGTTTATGTAGATGAGACGTAGAACCCGAGGAAGCAATAGGAAGGAAATGAGCACAGGTGAACCTTCCAACCTTCCAGAATCTACTCCCTCTGTCCTCGATAAAGCGAGGATTCATAATATTATATAACAAGTCTTGGCAGAAAATCGGGGAGGCTCTGTACCGGAGAGAGTTGAGACCCCTGTTATTGTACCGACCCTTAGAGAGGAGAGAGAGAGAGAGAGAGAGAGGTCGGTACCCCTAGTAGTGCAGAATCGTATTGAGCCGATATATGGGTTGCCTAGTCAACACCAGCTATTAGAATTTAGGGGTACTGTGGATCCAATAGTGGCAGATGAGTGGTTTAGATTAGTGGAGCGTATGACGGCACTTTTCCCTATGACAGACCAGGAGAAGATTTAGTATGCCAGTTTCTTATTTAGGAGTGATGCCCGTATATGGTGGGAATTGATGGAGGATACTCATGATACAACTTTGATGACCTGGGGAGATTTCAAAAGATTGTTCGAGGCATAATATAGAACAATTGATCGAGTCCATGAAAAGATTCAGGAGTTTATTAGTTTGCAACATGGGGCTAATTTAGTGAAAGAATATTCAGTGAAATTTAATTCTTTGGCAAGGTTTGCGCCAGGTGTAGTGAGTACACTAGAATTGACAAGAGATAAGTTCGTGCATGGGCTAAAACCAAAAATAACCAGAGATGTGGTGGCCGGTGCCCAGCCCCCTCAGACATATAGTGAAGCTTTGGAATGAGCTTTATGGGCAGAAATATTTGTGAATAAGCTAACCCCGACAACTCCATCGGCAGTAGCCCCCAGTGTTCCACCTCCTGTTCCATAGAGAGATAGAGATGATACCCCCATTAATAGAGAGGTGAGAAATAAGAAAAAGTTTCAACCCAAAAAGAATAGGAGGGATTGGCAGAATAAAAAGTCGAGAACTAGTGAAGTTCCCCAGTGCCAGAAGTGTGGAAGAAATCATTCTGGGGAGTGTCTTAGAGATTTGGGCTGAAATGTATGATATAGATGCCGGCAGCCAGGGCATATGATGAAACATTGTAAAGCCCCTCTTGCACCCGCAGCGTAGACACCTAGAGGTACCAATGCTCGAGTGTTTACAGTAGCCCAAAGTGAAGTTGAAGCTAGCCCATCCGCAGTTACTAGTCAGTTATTATTTCATTCATTTCTCCTTTATGCATTAATTGATTCTTAAGCCACATATTCATTTATTACACATTGGATTTTAGAGAGATTAGGTTTAAAACCTATTAGAGTGGATTGCCCCATTAAGATAGAGTCACCAGATGGTGTAAGTGTAGTAACTCAAGAGATGCTTCTAGGGGAGTCCGTAGTGATCCATGGAAGTTGCCGATGGATTTGATAGTGTTTGATATGCCTGATTTTGATGTTATTTTAGGCATGGATTTCCTAGGAAGATTTGGAGTAGAGATTGATTGTCAGAAAAAGAAAGCAAGATTTAATTTTGATGATGGAGATAAGTTTAATTTTGGTGAGGGTCACCAGCTTAGTATGTTAATCAG